ATTTTTTTTGGCAAAGTGACTTTTTTTCTAACTATGAAAAAGTAAAATTTTTCTTCTTGAGGTCAGTAGTGATACTTAACAAAGGGTCTTCCTAGACATGTCTTTATGGATTTAAAGCTTGTACATATCTCTATTACTACTAAAACAATCACCCCGTTTGGTCAAGCCCTAATGGAGATATTCAATTTTTTTGGGTAACATGACTTTTGGGCCACCCTGTATTTAAAATTATTCTTAAAAAAAAATTAAAATTGCAATTTTTTTCTCCTATAATTTCAAATTTTTCTGAATTTTAATTTTTTCTCAAATATCTACACAATTTTATCTATTCATGCGCTCGTAAATAAGTTTCTGATAAATCATTAATATACAGAGTCTGTTCCGTTTGATAATTAATGTGACCACATGTGGCTCAATGGCATGTACACTTGCTTTCTAATCGCTAGTTCACTTGTTCTAATCTCATTTCTATCATTTCAGAAACATCAAAATTCGAGCTTTCCGTTGGCCTATAGTTAGGTAAAGACCATCAATAGGCAATATCGATGGCAACTCAGATCAAACCTGAGACGGATCATAACAGAGCTGGGCAAAATACTTGAAGTACTCGTACTCGAGTACGATTTAGATGGTACTCGTACTCGTACTCGTACTCGAAGGGTCAGTACTCGTACTCGTACTCGAGACTCAAATACTCGAAATTCTAAATAATTATGCATTATATTAAAATGATGCTTGATAAAATTATAGTATCTTTTCCGAGGGTGAAATACACAACTGATATCTTTTTTTTATTCTTTACATACATATACAGATAAATATAAAGACGTCTTCCTAGGATTTAACAACTGGCGTACTCTTTCTTTCTTATTCTCCTTCACTAGTAATATCGTCTTTAATTAGTAACCAATGAGTGTTTGTATATTATTATACAGTTTTTCTTTCCTTTTGTATGCATAATCTATTCTTACTGAACAAAATACATTCGTTGCTCGTGTATTATTATAATTCAATTATTTGATTTACTATTGTGAACATTTATTTAATTATATAAATTTGTTATGGATACAAATTCGATTATCACAAAAGGTGAATCAGAATCCGTCGTCGTGGTAAATGATGATGTTAATGGACCACCTGTTATTCAAGAATTCTTTTCAAAATTGAATATTAATATTGAAAAGAATCGATGGACTTGTTGCTGCAATATTTGTTCATTATCTGTTACAGATACATATAAAACAACTTCGAATTTTTTAAAGCACATAAAAACTAAACACCGATTTGCATTTGATGAATGGAAGAGTAAACATGACCGGGTGGTGAATGAACAAAATCAGCCGAAGATTACAAATATTTTTAATCGAGAGAATGAAAAATGTAAGTATACACCTATCTTAAATAACGTCGTAATTGAATTAGGAAAAAAATAGTGAGAAAAGACTAGAATTGAGGCAATAAACTTAGTTTCGTTTATAAAGAGAAATATGTTACTATGATTTCATTTTGTATTTTCTATAAAGATACAAAGATAAGGAATTTTTTTTATTTTAGATTCGGCCAATAATAAACGTCAACAACTCCTCACCAACAGTCTTATTCGAAATCTTATTATTAATATGAGTCTTCCATTATCAATAGTCGACAATGAGTCGTTTATGAATTTTATGTTAGATGCTGATCCAAAATACAAAATGATTAATAGACGTGATATTACACGTTCGTTTCTTCCTATTATGTATAAAAAATGTATAAAAAAGCTGCAGGACATTTGTAATCGATCAAAATATGTTAGTCTCACTCTTGATATATGGAGTGATCGTAGAATGCGTAGTTATTTTGGCATTACACTTCATACAATTATTGATGATCAATATAAAACTTATGTTCTTTCGTTTGAACGTCTAAAAGGTAAACATTGCGGTGATAAACTTGCTGCTGAATTTGATCGTGTTATACAAATGTACAATTTAAAGGATAAACTTGTTAGAATAGTTACTGATAATGCAAGTAATAATCAAGCTGCATTTGATAATCTTATGTTACCCGGTTTTGAAGAATATTTTAATGATATTGATGATGATCAATCGGAACGTGAAACAAGTGATGAAGATAGTGATGATAATAATAAATTGTACGAAAATAGTCAACTACAAGCAGAAGAAGTAAATGATGATATATACGGAACAACACTTAGTGCACCAGCAGAACAAGAATTTTTACGATTACCATGCTTTAGTCATTGTCTTCAACTTGTTGTTAATGATGGAATTAAAGCTGGTGGTGGTGCATTATCATCTCTTAAAAAAGTAGCTGATCTTGCTAAACTTGCACATACGAGTACATCATTTGCAGAACGTTTAGAAGAACAAAAGTACAGTATTCCTCTTGCTAATCGAACTCGATGGAATTCACAATTTCAAACTGTGAAGAAAGTTATTAGTATTCCATCCTTCATTCTTAACTCTATTTTAACTGATTTAAAAAAAAATAATCTTATTCTTAATACTAAAGATAGAAAAATTTTAGAAGATTTTGTTTCTTTATTTGAACTGTTTAATGAAGCTACTGTTCTAACACAAGGTGAATGTTATGCTACTGTTAGTCTTGTTGCACCTACAATTCTTGGTATTCTTTTTGATCTTGAGCGTGAACATGCTTCTTCAAATTTATCTCTAGTATCTTTGTGTGAAGCACTTCTTTCATCTCTCAAAGCTCGATTTAGTGGACTTCTTCGCCATTTCGAAATTGATGTACCATTTGCTTTGTATTCCATGTCTGACGTTTTTCTGATCCTATCTTTCTAATTGCGCCACTTCTAGATGAACGTTTTAAATTGTTATGGCTCGATAATCTTCAATTTGCAATAAAGTTACGTGTTATCGAAAAAATTCATAGTACTTTTGTTTGTTTTTTCTCAAAATTGAATTTTTCTCTATCACAACCAGAAGGAGCTGATGAGTCGAACGTAACTGAACAAGATATTAGTGATATGATGACAAAACATGTTGATCCAACAACAAAAAGAAAAAGTCTTTTTCCTTACTTAAATGTTACGAAAAAGGTTTCATTTGATGAGAAATCGAAAGTTTTGGTAGAGCTTGATGCTTTTCTATCAGAAAGAAGCAATGAAAATAATTTACTTTTTCTCAAGAAAAATCTCTATCCTTCTCTATATGAACTTAGTCTAAAATACTTGTCAGTACCGGCTACATCAGCTCCTATTGAAAGAATATTTTCTAAAAGTGGTTTTATTATGCGTCCACATCGCGCATCGTTAACCTCAAAAAATGTATGCTTGCTTACTTTTCTTAAATGCAATAGCGTTTTATTGTAATTTGATTGTTTAAAACTTTATGATGAAAAAAATAAGAATAAACATATTTTGATTCATGACTTTAACTATGTTTCGATCTCAAAATTAATACATCATTATTAAAACTATCAATTAAATTTTTTCTAACGAGATCTTAGGAAACTCACTCTTATGTAATCGTACTCGTACTCGTACTCGTACTCGACAGTTCGATACTCATACTCGTACTCGTACTCGAGGATTTGGTACTCGTACTCGTACTCGTACTCTAGGGCCAGTACTCGTACTCGTACTCGTACTCGAAAAAGTCCGTACTTGCCCAGCTCTGGATCATAATATATTCTTAAAATTTGAAATATAGGTTCGAACGCGTCTAGATGCGAATTTACTTTGAATCGCATTTGGACACGATCTTGTCAGAAATCGCGTCTGAACGAGAATTAATGTCGAACCGCATCTAAACACAAGAACTGTTTCATCTGAGCTGCGTCTAGACGCGCTCAACTGTTGCGATTTGCCCGCAAGCAAAACGCGATTTAGACGCGATTCGATTCAAAAAATATTTACATGGGAAGAAGAATACAACAAATACATTAGATTGATATAATAAAAAAGAAAGATACGATAAGACTCACATATGTATAAAACTATGAATCATTTCTATTTACTAATTGATGATGTCCTTTAAAAACAAGATAAATAACAGCAAGACGAAACTTCTGTATGATGATAGTTATAATGCATAATAAATACCTTTTATTGCATAGAAAAATAATATCAAAACTGCAAAATTCTTGTTTGTTTTTTAAATAGGAGCAGTTTTTCAAATTGATTCATGTCAATATAATGTTGAAGAAGATTTATGGCATATTCAAATTCATGGAACTGATCAATATACTGATTTAGTTGCTGAATATATGAAATATCAAAAGAAAAAAATGGATGAATCAAATATAATTCTTATGTTTGGTAATTTACTTCTTGAAATGGGTGAATATACTAAAGCTGAAGCATATTTTGATACAATTCTTAATTCTTCAAATCCAAATGATGAAGAAATTGCTTGTATATTTTTCAATTTTGGTCGTACACATCAATTAAAAGGTGATTTTTATCGTGCAATAAATTGTTATAATCGTGCATATAATTTACATATGAATGCTCGACCAAAACGTTTAACAAGTGCAGGTAAAACTTTGAATGGTCTTGGAATTGTTTATAGTGAACAAGGACGAAAAATAAAAGCAGAAGAATGTTTTCAACAAGCTATGAAATTATATAAAAAAAGTATTTCAAAAAAACATGTTGATGTTGCTGGAACATTAATTAATTTGGGTACTATTGATTATGATCGACAACATGTAAGACAACAAAAAATTTTCAAATAAATCTAAATATTTTTTTTTCTTTGCATTTTATTTAGTATGATGAAGCAATAGTTAAATATCGTAAAGCAAAAAAAATTTATGATAGTTCTCTTCCATCTTATCATCCAAATCATGCAATACCAAGAGTTAATTTAGGTAATGTTTATTTAGCTTCTAGAGATTATTCAAAAGCTTGTGAAGAATATGAAATTGCATTGAAATTACAACAACAATCATTACCAAATGATCATCCAGATATAGCTCGTACATTACATAATCTTGCACTTGTTCAAAAACATCTAGGAAATATTGAACAAGCAAAAGAATATTTAGAACGAGCAGAAGAAATAGCTGATCATACATTATCATCAAAACATCCAGTTGTGTCTTTAATTCGAAAAACAAAAGCTCTAATGACAGAAGAAACCTGAAAGATGTATGAATACCCGATATTAAAAAGAAAAATTTTATTTTTTTCTTTTGAATTTTAACAATGTTTTATTTCACACTTTTCTTATTTGTTTTTATAAATATCAATTGTTCAATTTAAAGTGCTCTAAATTCAATATTTTAATATGCGAAAATTAATAAATTATATTTTTAATTGTATATTTATCTTTTAAATATTTTCATTCTTTATTTGCAAATCGAATAACATACAAGTCCTTAAAAAGAATAAAAACCAAATACATTATATTAAAATTAAATAGAAATAAAAAGTCAAAGAAATTTTACTTGACATAGTGAAAGATCAGCATTTTGAGTTTATAAAATCCATACATCTTTATCTTTAGATTCATCATGATATGAATGCTACGTATAAAGTGATATTGTAAATGCTGCATCTGATGCTGAATTTAAATAAATTGATGATTGAATCGGTTGGCCGTAAAAATGTCGAAAGGAAAAATATCGAAAAAATAATATCGATATGAAAATTGGGTGATAGATGTTTCATTGAGTTGTGAATAATAAAGAACATATTTTATTTTATGAGTTAATGTTAATGTTCCAACCGAGGTCAAATGTTGATAATGAAAAAAAATTGATTTGTCATTTTTTCTGTTTAGCAACTGTAAATGATAAACCGTCCAAGTATTCCATAGTACCATCATAATATCATTGGCCAAGACTATCTATACGACGTTGAATAGCAATTGTTTTAGCTTGCTTTGGTCTAATACCTAAACCTGCAGTAAACAGAATACACATATGATGAAAACGATTTTCTTCTCCTTGTAAAAATTTTATGAATGATCAAATGTTGGGATGATGTACTTGTATTCGATGATTAAAATAACTATGAAATGCTATATGAAACAAGAAAACGATATTTCGAATTAACTAAAGAAAAATGTTCACTTTCAGCATTATTATTAGTTCTTATGCTAAGACCATGTACACACCATTGAGAAATAGGAGATATTGATCGAGTAACTTCATATAAAGATACAGCAGATTCACATATGATAATAGAATTTTATTTATTACAGTTCTTCGTTCAACCTTTGTATTAAATTTAGATTATATATTATTCATCACAACCACCACTGGTTAAAATTCTATACTAATAGAAATATAAGGAAAGCAATAATGAAGTAGACGTCAGAGCTGTGCACCGTCCATAAAAATCGACGAGCGGCGGGCGGAAAATATGAGTCATACTTTCAAAAAGTGACGGCGCTACAGGCCGCTCAATAAGGCTTTTCGCCCAGCGGAGCGACCGCACCATCCTTCATTCAAGGGGCCCGACGGTGCGGTCGCTCCGTCGAGCGGCCGTTCGATTACCAGCGAGCGGCCGCTCGTGATTAATAAAGTTTTGTCGTTCCTTTTTTTCTAGTTTTATTACAGGTTTTTAAATAAATACTGCGGAATTTATTGATCGCATGTAGCTCGTTTGAATGTAAGCAATAAGTATAGAATTAGATAAATTCGGTGAAGGAGATGATTAGAAGGTATTGAGAGTACGAAGTAGAAGACGATAACTTTTACATATTAATGATAATTATGGCAATTATTGTCGTAACTTTATCACAAAAGAATGAACAAAACATGGATGTGATGAAGAAAGGAAGATAATTAACATATACTGCATGCTAGGGAAATAATTAGATAAATTTTCCTTCTTGACTTTTATATTTATTATTAAGTATGAATAGTAACTTTCGCTCCCGAAAATCATTGAGTGGAAGTTATACATACAAAAGTGAAAAAAAAGAAGTAAGAGTATCTTACTATTAACATGTATGATTAATTGAACATTTATCAACGAGAAAAAAAGCAAAATTCTTTGTATCAATACTTGAAGAAGTATAATTTTATATTTTAAATATTAATCATAAAGTAAATAACGGGTGTCCCAGGAAAAATGAACCTCTCAGTATTTTTAAGATTTCTCTTCTACTCTCCCTGTATTTAAAACTCTTTTTATTCTCAAAAGATAGCGATTGAAATTTTCTACAAAATCATATATGACTAGGCCTAAAAAATGTCTTAGATATATTTGAAAAAAGACGAAAACTAAAGACATACAAGCAGCTGTAAAATGTAAATATGTCACCAATAATNTCAATGTATTCTTTTGATAAAAATTTCAAAAAACTATTTGGAAAATGTTAAAAATTGTTAAAAAAGTCATATTTTTGATATGGAAGAAAAACCCTCGAATTTTCAATAAAATTTCCTTTTTTCTGATTATTTTTATTTCCTCAGATGTTTCGAAATATATTCATTCGATACAGTTTTTCACGCTGCATCGAATGAGTATATTTTCAAACATTTTACATAAGGATACTAATGAAAAACAGCTGAATTTAGTGTAAAAAGAACCACTTTTTTTTCTCTATAAAAAGTATAAAAAAATGAGGATTTTTCGGTACATTCTTTAGACAGTTTTCAGTGAATTTTAACCCAATAACTCTGTTTGCAAATTTTTTAGTATATACAGTTTTGTAGAGCTCGACGAGCCCTATCGAACCATGTAAAAATATCCAAGAAAAACATTTTAATTCATTTTTCAATTACTGGCACTTTACTTGTCCACCGCAATAAAAGTATAAAATTTCTCAAAGCTTCTTAAGTTCGATATTAAAAAGTGTTCATAATCCTTACTATTTAGTATCAATAAACTCCATTTTTGACAAGCTTTCATTTGATATAAAATTCATTATGTTTTCTATTTGAAATTATAGCGGTACCCCCCCTTGCAAAATAGTATTTCCAACCCTGTATTGTATTACAAACAATGTTATGAAAAATTAAATTAATATTCGACATCGAAAACTCCATCATACTATCAACTGTAAATGATTATTCGAATATATACATATATTTTATATCTAAGAAAAACATCTTCTCCAAATTGATTTAAAGCATACATATATAGATAACTCACCCAACTTGGTAGTAAATTCTTTTGATAGAACAAATGTACATCCAGCACTTGTGCAACATCCCACTAGCACTCTGTAAAATATTCATTTACATAAAACAAACACCTCACAAATGGAATTCTCACTTGAATTTAGTATCAACGTTTAGTGGACCATTACATATTCTGGGATTGGCGCAGTTTGTCTCATTTCCGAGCATTAAAATGATATTCTTAGCTAAATTCACTGTCGATCTAATAGAATAGCAAAGGATACAATATCGATACAATCCAATTTGATTAATAATGGTATATATTAGTTCTACGCATACTTTTTTCTTGATGTAGAGACTGGAATTTCAACAGCCAAATAGTCTATTGAACGATTATGCATAGCATCTTCGTATGTGCCATTCAAGTCAGGTTCTTCAATGGTCTTGTGCATGTCTTGAAGAATGTTAATCATAAATCACTTTTTTGTGGTAAATTATGGTAATATCTTACCCTGACGGACATAGACCAAATATTTGAGCAAGATACCATTATCGCTCGAAAACAATGACTTATCGATATAAATAGGATGTTGACTAGCTGTCATGTTTCCATTATCACTGGAATCGATGATTTTTGTTTCAACATCAACATGACTTGGCTTTTCAGGGACTTCACAGAAAAGCAAAGAAAATAATTTAAAAGAAGGAGATGAATATAAAGGCAAGTATACCATCCTCTGCTGTTTGATGGACTATTTCATCAGACCATATTCTCTGATTTGAAATGAGCTCTACATGCAGTTGATATCTGAAAATAATTATTTCTAGCAATATTAGGAATTTGAAATTTGGTAAAAGTTTTATTGTTGTCTGTTTTACTAGTGTTTTCACAAGTTACGTGCCAGAAACTGTATAGTGAAAGTTTATCAAATAATTTTTCATCGAAGAAAAATATTCAATTATCATACGCAAATAATGATCTTGAGATCTATAATTGATACTATGATACATTCTCTATTCTGAGTGTCAAGCGGCATTGATTATGGTTGTCACATTTTATCAGATCACTTAGTCGAGTTCTAATTGTAATGAGCTTATAAGAAATGAAGACTCATAAACTTTTTCGAACGAAATACTCGTCAAAAGTTTCATTTCTTTTGGTAAGCTGACCAATACTGTATGGCAATAAAATCAAAAAAGGAGATGTTTGTTGAAATTTCAAATTAATATCACATTGATAAATCCATACTAACTGTCGATTAGGACGAATCCCGTTCGTGTAATTGAATGAACGAGCTATTCTATCCGAAACTATCATACGGGTACCGTTGACAATGACAGAAAATTGATCGACATAAGTAGGTTCATCGATTGTCCAATTTACTGAGATATGTCGAGCAGCCCATGTTGATGAAACGATGATCGGTTTTGGAGGCGCTATATAATTAAAAACTATGTGTTCTTTTATTGAATTATTCGTGACTTACGTATTGACATAATGAACTTCTCTGAACTTGCATCATCAAAGCCATGTTTTTTTGTTAAGAAAAAGCATTGATAATCACATCCCCGAGTTCTACTGAAGTTCAGTGTTATTGTTGTTGAACATTGATTATGAATAATGTCCATGTCAGTGCATGTAGGTTTCTGTTTTTCTTTCGTCTTGCATACTGTTTCAAGATTTTCGAAATCACTTTGTGTAGTAACATTTAAAGTGATCTGAGTCATATTTGGTAGCCATGTTTGTTGATAGATGACAGGCATGAGAGCTAACACAAGAGCAACCAATAAAAGATTAATATATCCTATTAAAGAGTTTATATTCACTTACTTGTGTTGAAATCTATCACTTTGTAGGCTGTAGAATTAACTCCTGACTTGGAAGTATTGGCCCAACAATTATATTCGACACCATTTATGATTGGAGTGATAACAATGTAAGTACAATTAGTACAGTTATTGTTAATATGACCCGCTAGATAAGAGCTTGCATTTGTACAGTTTTGAACATTTCCAAAGCAATGGATCTGAATATTACTGAAACCCCCTCGAGGATGTTTGAAATAAA